CAACAAGGAAGAGCAACCACAAGCGTCATTCCCACCGCGCAAACGACAGCGAACCGACATTTCTTTTTTGTATGGATTGGAGTATCCGTCATCAGAAGAAGCTACCAAGGCTACTACCAATGAGTCGTCGAAAGAGAAGAATAAGGAACCTGGCATTGATCCAATGTTGACATTCAACGTTTTAAGGGCAGTGGGTCTCATCCAACCATCGGCATCGGAAGATACTGGGGGTGGTTCATCATCCCCTTTGTCGATCATTGACCAATCCCTCATGGATTTTGCAGAACAGCAGTCGATGGCCATGGATTCTAGTCCATCTCACAGTTCTGTTTCCAAACTCAAAAGGTTGACGGAAAAGTTGATGTTGGCGGAACAAGGCGGCAAAGATGGCAAGAATCCAAATACGGTATTGAGCATGTTCTTTCCCAAAATGGAACAACATGATGTTGCTACAAAAGATGCTGCTGAAGGCTTGGATCTCAAGGACGCATCAGGTAGCACAAAGGAAAATAGCGAAGAAAGTGCCATGGATATCGATTCCGATGACAAAGACAATGCGACAGCAGGTAATGGAGCGGATGGTGACTCCACCATGAAAACGGCACCGACTGTCGCCATACGTGGTGGCGGATCCGAGTTGCACAGTACAACAGAAGCAAAGCCTCCTCCAGTTGCTGCTACCATGAATGGAACGAAAACTCCAGAGCCCCAGCAGGTCCCAGAACAAGCCAACCCTCAGAATGGAAGACCCACGAACCTTCCACCGCAAGCAGGCAATCCTATGCATGCCAAAGAAATGGCGTCGCAGCAGCAGCGAATTGTCATGATGAATCAGCAGCTAGCGCGGGCAGATCAAAATTTTCGAATGGGCAACGCTGGACATCAAAATGCCATGGCGCAAAATGGAAAAGCTGGAAACAGTGGAAATCGAAATAATCGAATGCAAGGCCTTCCAGCTGATGGTTTCAATCGGACAGGTGCAGCCGCCATGCAAATGGCACATCAATTTCGTCACGCCTCGGCTTCGATGCAACGATTATCAGGGCATCCTACGGGGGATCTGGAAGCTTACATTGGGAATCTTCATGCACAACAAGGAGCTGCGGGATACGAGTGGTCACAAATTGCGGCGTTGGGTCTGAACACACACCGAGCCATGGTCAATTTTTCAGCACAAGACAGAGCCCGAGCGATGATTGCTGAGCAACAAAATGCTGCCGCTGCAGCAGCAACTCAGGTAGCTGCTGCACAACGACAGCAAGCACTTGCAATGATGGGAGGGGGGTTTGTTCCAGCTGGTGCTCCACACTTTGCGCAATTCTCTGGGCGTACTGCGGCTTTGATGAACAATTCGGCGTTGATGGGACATTCGGGCATGGCAGGAGTGAATCAGTCAGCACAAATGCAAGCCAACAATATGGACAATAGCAACAACAGGAAGGACCAAGGCATGACAAAAGAGAGGTCTGACAGCGACTCAAAAAACTCGCAAAAGGATAGCAAATCAAGCAAGCCAGAAGAGTCAGGGACAAAGCGAAAACTTTCGACCGCTTCTTCAGGGAGTGGTGGTTCGGACAAGCGCCGAAACGTGACATCGCAGTCTTCATTCAAACCGTCGGATGCGAATGGGACTGTCAAGGCCGCGAATGGTGTGCAGGAGGGTCAGAAGAAAGCAACCAAAGCAAAAGCTCAGCCAAAGAGCACTCCAAGAGCCATGAATGCAAACAAAACTGGCGCTTCTGCCAAGCCTGGCGATCCAAAACAAGTTGGTGGAAGGCCCGAAGTACCAAAGGTAAACAAGCCACCGCGGACTTCGGGGATGCAGTTCTATGTTCCACCAGCCCCCATTGGGATCCCATCAGACATGGCAAGTCTCGTACTTGCAGCCAAAGTTCACAGTGTCATTGATGCATGGGAAAATGGTGAAGCCGTTTTCGATGCTACAACTATTATTGACTTTCTGCTTGCAGTCGGAATTGCTGTTCCCATTCCGAAGGCATTGGTTGTTAACCCGCTGAAAGAACGAATTGGCTCCACAGCTACGAAGAATAATCCTTTCGCCAACGTTCCTGCATCATCACGGGACGTTGTTGTTGCACTCATACTTCTTTGGTTGTGGAAGCATCATGAACAGTGCTTTCAGAAAGCGTTTGCCAAAAGTGGAAGGATTGATGTTGATCCAGAATGCAAATGGCTAATCAACGCTGCAGTTGATAGATCCGTCTCGTCGTTAGGAAAAGAGATTACCAGCGCTGGTAGTGCGCTCAGTGCGGCATTGAGTCTTGCAAAAGGTAAAGGTGGATCCTCACAAAAGGGTACTGCCCAAGCAAATGATGCAGATCGCGCTCAGGGACGCGCCACTCGAGTTGATCTTCTCTGCGCATCCATTGTGAGCAGATCGCTTTTGGAAGGGAGTGCAATTGATGATACGATGGTAAGTTCTCCTCAACTGCATCTTGCAACTATCATGTCGACAAGACCTCACCATATATTTTCTTTTCGACAGGATAAAATGCTTCCAAGCTTCCATGAAATGCTAGAGTATCTTGATGAGTGCAGAACTGGTTCCCTGCATAGCAAAGCCCAGGAGAGAGCTCTCCTCGCATCTTTAATCTCCCGCAAAGCCACAATGTCGTTACCATTCTCACATGCGTATGCTAGTTCCATGGTTCGCGCTGGCGAAGCCATTGGGCACGGCGAGCTGTTTGAAATTGTGCAGAACGAAGATGTCAAGGTATCTACAATGATCCCCTATGATGTTTTCACGGACGAGTCTGGAGCCTGGGAAGATCCTTGTCGGCCAGAGGGATCATTTACCAAAGGTCTTACTGGTGACGACCTCATGAGACGAGCTCATGCAAGAGCAATGATCCAAAAATCATTGAAGAAGCTTCAAGATCGTCATGGCATCAAAGGAGGGACACCAAACTCTGGAGCGTATACAGATCCTCCTACATCAACTTCAAATGCAGACTCTGGCAAATCACCATCGGGACCAGGTTCGTCATCGGGAAGGGGCAAACGTCGGAATTCATTTAGTGAGCCCAAGTTTCCGCCAGGGACGGGTTCTGCACATGCAACCAGCATGGCTCTGTACGAGCCAAAACACCATTCTAGCCCCTTGGAATGGGACTGCGATGCCCCAGAGAATCTTCCATACGGCATCTTTAGCTCTAAGAAAAGTGCTGGAAGTGTAAAACGACGAACGTCCCAAGGTGCAGCAGACTCGGGTGGGAAATCTCCAAGAGGCGGTAATGTCGTCGTTCGTTCCGAGTCTGTAGGGTCAGCGAGTGAGACAGCCCCGACTTACCCCCGGAGTACACATGCAATTTCATGGAATGATATTGCTAGTGTCTTTGAAAGTCAAAATGTCCAGCTTCCAATCAAGAAGAAGAAAAAACAGACCGAAGAAAAATCCATCTCCAAAAACAAAACCATCTATGCACCCTTTGTGCGACAGACGGATTCGATTCCTAGCGGCAGTGAATCGGAAAGCGAATCAGACACGGAGGAAGATATAAGCGATTCAATGGTGCTTTCGCGACACCAGGAAGTTCTGGACGACATGAAAGAAAAATTGAGCGACTTTTTGGAATCTCGAAAGAAGAGCGTAGAACGCAAGAAGAAAAAAGACAACTTGAAGAAATCTTCAAACTAGCTTCATAATAATATACTGATAGAAACCAACAAATAGAGTCAAACATTTTTGCACCATTCTTCTTGTGACGCCTTTTTATTTCAATTGTACGCATGATATCGCACCATTTTCTTGGCCAGCGATCTTATTCAAAGGGCCCAACTTTAAAGATGGACGCGATGGTGATGACACAGTTGTGCTGTGGCTGTTGACTAATATCTAAGCTACTATGACAGTTGTGAATTATACTCTTCCACTCAAGTTAAAAGTGTACCTCGTGCCAAGATGGCGCACTTGTTGATGACTGATTAATAACTGAAATTTTCATTCACATTTACAATTGGATGCATCCTATTAGTAGCTTATACGTTCCATATTATCTAGTATGATTCATCCTTCACCATTCAGTTCCAACTACTACAGTAGTACTAACAAACTACTATTATTGAAGACAAGTCTTCCAAACTTGAGGAGCACTTTTTTCAAGGGCCTCAAAGACCTTGTTTTGGATCTCTTCCGTGGGAGTCAGGCATCTGAAGGAAAAATGGGCAAAATGCAAGAAAACAACAATAATAGCAAAGAAATGTATATAAGTTTCATGCATGGAGAAATAGAATTCTGTGATCATTCAATCTTTGCTTTGTGTACTTACAGCATGAGACCTCCACGGCCAGTCCCGCTCATCTTGGCACCAATCGCTCCGGCACTTCGCGCAGTTTCCACCAGCTGATCCAATTCCGCGCAGCTGACCGTCAACTCCTGGCAAAGCTTGTGGTTCTCATTCATCAAAGATCCCAACAATGGAATGTCACCTTGATCCATGGCATCTTCTGCTTTCTTCACCAAAGCCTTGTACTGTTCCAACAGCTTGTCAAACCAGGCCGGGTCGGCTTCCTTTTTGGAACGGACGTCTCCCACCACTTCTGTTGTCGAAGCGGTAATCCCAGTCGACGCATACACGATTCGAATGGGTTCCTTGATTTCCTTCTTGGTAAAGATTGGATCCGCCTCAGTTCGCTGAAACTTGAGCAAGCCACCATAGGTGGCAGCCGTATTGTCAATCCCAGAAGGAGTTCCATGATACCCCTTTTCTCCTTCGTATCCACCCTGATTGATTTCTTCTTCCGTGCTATTCAGCTTGAATGTTTGATCAATGGCTCGAGACAAACTGACGGTTTGCGCAGCCGATGCTCCAATCCCCGACACGCAACACAAATCACCACCAAAGGTCAATTTCAGGCTGCTTTTGCCATCCAGTTTGTCTTGGACGGCAAAGTGTTTCAGCACCAAATCAACGGCCTGTTTGCCCTCGTCTGCCTTTTTCACCTTGTAATTTGGGACGGCTGGTCGATTGTCAATGATCTCTACACCCTCATCAGAACCACCCTCGACCACTTCCAAGGCACACGTGGTGGACGCGGCCACGGCTCCCACCAATGCTGGCACATGATAGACGACAAAGTGCTCTCCGAATAGAATCAGTTTGCCATAGGCTTGGGTTTTGGAGACGTCAGGCATGTTCTTATGCTGATACTATAGCGCTGCGTTGCTTGTTGTACTGGTATTGCTATTGCTGTTGCTTTTGCTAGACTATTTCTTCTTCTTCTTCACGAATGAAGGAAGCAAAATAAATGATTGTGGATGTGTGTTTGTTTTTATTTTTATTGTTGTCGATGTCGTCATCCGAATCTTCATCATTTTTTCGAAGGCACGCGTGGTTAAATCATATGAGTCAAATCATGCAGAGCGTGTGCTTGAGCGAGCGAGCGAGCGCGTGCGTGCATGCGTGAATAAAACGGATGAGAAATAAAATAGCGGATGGAACGATGATGCACGAAAAACATGTAGAAAGCGGATGACGAGTTGAGAATGAGAATCAATCTTTTACCTACCGGTACAGGTACTGTTTGGTACAGAATGTGATGAAAAAGCCACCGACCGCGAATCATCATCTACAGTGGGACCAATTCGTTGTGCTTTCTTTTTAGTACAAAGGTTGTATAAGCAGGGGAGCCCCGCACAAATCACACAGCTACAGCTCTAGTGCTACAATATATCTGCCAGAATCAATCAATCAATCAATCCACCAATCAATCCACCAATCACTCCATCATCCTACTACCTACAATACATTGCTCCCACGGAATGATACATGCAAATGAAACGCAGCAATCATGAACCACCTTCTTGATAGTAGTAGTAGTAGTAGTAGTAGTAATAGTAGTAGTAGTAGTGATGCTTCGATGAGTGACATTACTACCTCGACGCGGATATCAGATGGTGGTACAGCAGCAACCTTCTTGCAATCGTCCTCCCAATTTCTGCAGAAATCCAGCCGTGAATTCACCATGCTCGTCCAGCCAAGCGTCAGTCGCAGCCAAAAGATTGCGGACCAAAGACTCTTGGAACTGAAAACCCGCGAGTTGAAGATACAGTCGATTGGTCTCATTGGGAGAGAACGAGAAACTGAAAAGCTGCAATCCTGTCTTATATCCATGATGGATGAACAACAACAACAACAGCAACAGCAAGCGGCAGAAGAGAGTAGGAATCACAAACAGAAGATTGAATCAATAGAAGAAACAATAAGCACCATTGAGATTTCCAAAGTAAAGAAGAAACTCGTCTTTATCAAAGGATTCAGTGGTGTCGGAAAGACCACGCTAGCAAGAACGATGCAACTTGAAGTGATGAAAGGCGGGGATGGATGCTACGTCGAGGGCAAATTTGACTTGAATATGAACCATATGGATCAACCGTATGCGGGCATTGCAAAAGCCTTTCGTGAACTTGTTACAGAGTTGTCAGTGACAAATCCGGACATGCTCTCAGCCATTGGGCAAGGGCTTTGTGAGATGCTTGGGCCGGAACAAGTGGAACATCTTTCCGATCTCATCCCAGAGCTGACACGTTTTGTGGAAGGATATCATTCGTCAACATCCAAGTACGCCGAAGGGAATATTGATGGAATGTTAGAGAGATGGAAGTACAGTTTTCGGGTGCTGACACGGTTACTGACCTCACATGTGAAACCCTTGGTGATTATGATTGACGACTTGCAATGGGCAGACAAGGCGTCTTTAGATATTATCGAAACCTTGATTACAGATTCTCAAAATGTGAACCCACTCATGATCATTGGATGTTACCGTTCCAATGAAGTCAACGAATCGAGTAATCTCAAAAAGTCAATAGAGTCTCTAATACAGAAACAGTCAAAATTTGGCTTTTTTGTCACAGATATTGTGGTGAGAAGCTGTGGGATCGACGAAGTGGATCAAATGATTCGAAAAATGATGGATGTGGACGAGGAGGAGGAGGAAAGCACACACGATCTTGCGGATCTTTGTTTCCGAAGGACTTTGGGCAATCCTTTCTTTGTAATTGAGTTTATGAGTATGCTCCAAAGAGAAAACTTGATCCAATTCAACATTGGGACGCTGAAGTGGTCATTTGACGTGTCAGTGATCGAAGAGGCAACATTCTCGACTGCCAATGTAGCAGAGATGCTGAAATCAAGAATGGAACAGATGCCTGCAGATGTCAAACTGTTGCTTCGGGTGGCTGCATGTCTTGGTCCTACCTTTGGAGTGTCCATCTTGGAAACGCTATGGAAGAATCTGCCATACATACCCACCAATAGCTCTGCTGGACTAGACAATATCCCCAAATTGATAACTTTTATTGAATCTGAATTGCTGATCGAGGCATGGGCGGGAGACAAGTATAGATGGGTACACGATAAAGTGCAAGAAGCAGCACTATCGTTGGTAGAAAGCGATGAAGTGAATTTGAAATTCCATTTGGGGAAAGCTCTATACTATAATCTCCAGGGAATCGAGCTTGAGGATAGCTTGTTTGACATTATTGATCTTATTACCAGTGAAAAGGGCCCAAAATCCGTCGAGTTTGCTTCCCTTTGCCTCAAGGCTGCGACAAAGGCAAAGCGATTATCAGCATTTCAGTCCGCAACAAGATACGCAAAGAGAGGAATCGAAATGCTTCCTGAGGATAAATGGACCAGCAGCCGGTCATTGACGATTGAACTCCATGCAATTGGAGCACAAGTGGAACTCGCACTCGGACGTGTGGAAGAATCAAAGAATCATTGTGACGCTGTTCTGAGCAGGAAAGATACCGAGATTGGTGACCGAATTCCATTCAAATTGGTGGAGATACAGAGACTGTCAACAGTGGAAATGAAGTACCCCGATGCGATAAAGAGTTGTCTATCTCTATTGAAAGATATGAATAATAGACTATTCTGGAGTCGAACCTTGCTTCCTGTGCAAGCTATATATGCTCTTTCAAAGACTATCAAAACTATCAAAAGGCTGCCAAAGGATTTTTATCTGCGGATTGGCCGAATGGACAGCAACAGCAACAACAACAACAACAAGATAATGGCAGATATTCTGGAACGCATACGTTATTCATCGTATCATACGAAGGAAATCTTTCAAATGATCCTTGGTGATTGCAAAAGTGTGCACCTTACACTGCAGCATGGTTTGTGTGAGCACTCTGGGCATAGCTTTGCAATGATTGGATTCTATACAACCGTCTTGTTCAAGGACTTTGAAGACGCTGCGTTGTTCCGGGAATTGGCACTCTCTACGCAGAGCCATTTTGGGAAACCACGTGCTTGTCAGACGATTTTCCTATCTCATTTTTCGTCACTGGCGTGGACAGTTCCAATACAAAGTTTTGCGAGTTCCAGCGTCTTGTATGAGTCCTATGTAACGGGTATGCAAAATGGAGAAGTCGATTTTGCAATGTGGAGCCTTATGGCGGTAAGTGCAACTCTTTGGATTTCTGGGCGGAAGAAGAAAAAAAACCCCAATGGTCTAAATACGCTATTTGTGCGTATCTCCTTTCCGTTGTTTGCAGCATTTTGTTCAGATTCCAATTATTTTGGGCAAGCCTATTGATCAAATCTTGGAAGCTTTTCCCAAGATAATTGCGCAAATGGAGGAAGTATCGCAAACTAGCCAGGTATGGATGTATACCTTCACCTTGAAGCAGTGGTGTAGACAACGAATGACACGGAGCACTATATAGCTGACACTTACACGTTTTCATTTTAGGCTGTGACTACAACGTTGTACTGGCAAATGCTTTTGAATCTCCGGGAACCGAAACAGGCGAAAGATCCGTTAAAGCTCACCAGGGGCAACAATGCAATCATTGAGAATCATCCAGACCAGGAGGATGAATATATTGCAACATTCCGAGACTACCTAGAGTGTCAGCTTCTCCTTTTCTACAATCACGAATCAGCTGCAGACAGGGCCATACAAAGCGCAGGAAGACTCGAAAAAGCCGCTCCTGGAACCTTTGATTTCATGATTGAGACCTTCCACCGTGGTATCTGTCTATATGTGGCGGCGCGACGGACGAAACGACGAAAGTATGCGAAGCATGCCAAAAAGATTAGAAAGATTATCCACGAGTGGAGAAGAAAAGGAATTCCGAATGTCGTTTACTACTGTATGTTTCTTGATGCCGAGCATGCGGCACTGGCAGGCAAGCACGAGGAAGCAGAGAAGCACTACAAGGAAGCCATACACTTTGTGGCCAAACCCGGTCACCTCCAACATGCAGCGCTATTCAACGAGCTGTATAGTGACTACCTTTTTCGAGAACGGGATGATAAAGACGAGGCCAAATACAGGCTGGAGGAGGCTATCTGGTACTATAGAGATTGGGGAGCTCTTGGGAAGGTTGAGAAGCTGAAGGAGTCAAGTCTCCTGCTGTACGAGGAGGCCTCAGGATGAAATCGTGTGGGTTGAAGTGACACTGGATCCTACAGCAACGTCTGTACCTATTGCATTTTGTACTGTATGTATTAATATATAATATGTTTGATAAGCAATAGCTAAAGAAATAGCTTGAATGATCGAAAGGTCCTTTTATTTGGCTACAGTACATGGGTAATATTTTAGACAAAAGATACAACAGAAATACAAGGGCAACTTCACTTGAGATAAAAGACAAGTCGTCTTTTGTTTTCCGGTTTCGAAGGAAAGAATAATATTCGTCATGTTTGTATAATATAGTCCACTCTTTGCACTTGTGGTTTTGGCTCAAAATATATGGACAGATGCGTTTGTATATGCGCGTAGTAGCCGAATCATCAATCTTGTTGCGCTGTTGGAGGATGTTCCCTTTTGGGTCCAACTGCTCACATTGAGTCATTCCCTGTGAATCTATATGTGCCCCATAGATCATGGCGAATTCTAATTGAAATCATTTGTCGCTTGAAAAATACCGATTTCATACGCCCATTTCGTCACCTTTGTCTTTCATACCAACATAGGAGGTAGCTTCCTCAGCAGGAGGACTTTTTGCAGTGTCTTCATTGTTGTTGTTGCTGTTGCTGTTGTGGTCGATCACATAGGATCTCAATCGCACTGTCAAATATGTGTATGCTACCATATCCAAGAGTACATCAAAGAGTTCCGATTCAATGTTGAAATTCGGCACTCGCCAAAGCTTCCCAAAGGTGACCAAGGCATCGTAGGAATAGTAGACCGCAAGCATCAGCTCGACAATCACCAAGTAAATTTCGTATTGATCCTCTTCCATATCGGACTTTGTAGTGTCGTCGTCATTCTTTTCCGTCATGGATTTGTCTTGTTGTTGTCGTTGCTTCCCTGCTGCTGCCGCTGGCCGTAGCATTAGCAAATCGGTGTAGTATTGCCGGTGATGATATTCCAACAAGTGCAACAAACATTCTATCGTCCAGATAAAGCAGACTGTCGTATTGTAGATGATGTACGATCTGGTACCATACAGCCGATACTCTGGCTCTAGCGTCCGTAAGATTTCAACAAAGGAGAGTATGGTCCACGCCAAAATAAAGGCATTGATACGCATCCAAGATTTCCGAGCATATCTCGGAGCATACGGCAGGAATACGGAAAACAGCCAGCTTATCATCTTGCTGTCATTGTCATTGTCGTTGGATGATACCATACTGTACAGTAGGTAGCTACTCTTCAATGGGGTTGCTTGGCTATGGGCTTTCCTTGTTTGACTGTCTGTTGTGTGAACACCGCAGGGTGTGGGCGTACCAGAAAATCGTATTCCGGCAGGCGACAAATATATGCGACACGTGCGTTCCTGCTAAGAAAATAGCCAATTTGAAAAGCGCGTCGTCCGTACACGTGTACGTCTTTTTAACTAATGGCGGTTGACGCGTTATATTCTTACACGAACGAATGTGCGAAAATTCAAATTGAAAAAAATAACGTGCTGGAACTTTTTTGAAAAATAAATCCACCTCGTTCAAAATCGCATCCCTCGGAGACGGTGACGTGTCGCTTGGTGGTGTACCAGAAGTCGTCGTGTTTTCGATTTCTCCAAAATGCGAAAAAATTAAGTGCCGAAAAAATTAAAAGGTCACGAAATGACGCGTGCCGATTGATGGTACACGTACACTACACTTGTAGAGTATCTTGTCCTACGTCCATCACCTCCTCGCTATACTGTACAATAAAATGGAAGCAAAAACAAACACACTGTATGTAAATCCCTGAACAAGCATTTTATGGGCAAAGCGACAAGATAAAAGTTGCGGTTGCCCGCATACTACGACGTCAACATGACAGATTGGACTTCAACTTCTCCCTCCTCGGTATTGCTGAGGTACTCCCCCAAACATGCTCGCAAGATGTGGATCTACATCAATTCCTTTGTCTTGACCTGTTCCCTCCTACTGCTCCTGGAAATATTCTTGACGTTGGAACCAGAAGATCGTTTGGAAGGCACACGGGCATACTTGACCTACAATATCTTTGTTTGCTTTGCCTGGACGGTGGAATCGGCCTTGCACTTTTTGCAATACAAACATGATCATCATGAAGATGATGAAGACGTGAAACATTATACCCAAGCAGCACACAACCAGGAGCAGACGAATACTACCACACCAGTATGCGACGCCACAAATCCCGAACCCAAGAAGGATCATGAGTTCTATGCCCTTGTGGTGGAATTAATCTTTGCTATCTATTTCTTCTATGATGCAGTCACTACTTTAAAAGGGTTGTGGCAACAGTCGTTGGGTGTGGGGGCGCAACTGTTTGACGTGACCATTGATGTGGTAGCCTACGTCTACCTCTTGACCAGGCTCATCATGTTTACAGAAGATGCCACCACGATCCATGGAATTAATGAGACACGGGATAATGTTGTTGATGATGATGAAGATGCAGCTACACCGTATACCTTGGAGGTGACATGACCTAATACATGACAGCGTACCGTGATCGACAGTAGGCAGAAACGAGACTAGATCACAGACTTGACGAATATTGGACAAAAAAAGAAACGCGAACTATTGGAAAAGCAAGTCTGAGAAAGGAAAGTGTCATTCAGCAATCCCCTACTGACTATATCATCATTGATTACAAAATTTGGCAGCTTCAATCCCCTACTGCTTCAATGGCTCCCATTCTCCAAGCATTTCCGACCGTTGGATCAACCGTATGTGTTTGATGTATAGGTACAAAGAGAGGGAACTTTGAATACCAACGGCAAAGGCACAAAGACCAAACGATATTGTCTTTTCCGAAACCCAAAAAGTCTCATTCCACACTACAGCCAAGGAAAGATATCGAATGAGAATCGATGCCCAGCTGACAAAGAGCGCCGTGTAGGTGATAATATCCAAATGTGTCACTTGTGAGGTTTCCGGTGTCACATCTTTCGTAATGAACAAGTAGGCGACGGTAGTCAGCAATAGACTAGCATTCAGACCAGCTTGATCTTCAAATTCTCCAAAGCCATTGGTGGCAATATTCAAGGAAGTGATCATTATGATCGGGAGAGCCACAGTTCGCAAGTAGTATTTGGTTTGCCGGGCGACTGGTACGACAAGGACATATCGACTGGTTTTACTTGTCTCAAAGACTTCAATTTTGGCGGTAGGCGCCAGGAACGTAAAAGCTACTGCCTTGATTGGCCGCTTGATGCACAATTGCCAAGCAGTGTTGTCAGCATAATGAAGCTGCCGGAAATACCGGCATCGATCATCTGGATCGTTGTCCCACATTCTATACACTAGGTCAAGCTCCTGCACGTCTGCTGGAAACTCATTCACGTTCCTCAGACCCGAAAGAAAGGTTCCCCTCAAAACTTGTTGCCATGTAATGACATCGGGCGGATCCTTCCTATCAATATACGCATAGCTCTGGTGCAAATCAACTTCGTCTTTGTTGAGGTCATAGCGTGGTAGCCTGACTATATTTCGATCCGACTGATTGTGTGCCACCATATCAATGTTGGTACGAGCCGATGGATCATCCAGCTTTCTTGGATACACCAGTTCGATACCTGGTTGCCTCCATTTCATTATTGTTCGCACGTTGCAATGAAAGTTTCCAGTAATATCGGGTGGCCCAATCGAATAAATGGTGATGCCTATCCCCACACAATGGGGATCCATCATGGCCCTGTAATCGTAAATGGGGTCGTTCTCGGATTTGGTTTCCATAGTAGTCAGTTGATCCAGAGAGGTCAATGGCTGCTTGTTTTCGTAGATGTGTCGAGGCCGCCCATCCGCTTGGGGAGTAAACATTTCTCGCATGATAAATCCCATCTTGGTGTGAAATTCCAAAGAGGCAGGATTGGCAGGCTCCTTGACAATGGCGGCGTAAATGGCACGCGTTAATCCTCCTTCGTGTTCGTAATAATGGGTAGTTCGAGCGTAAAGTTCCTTGTAAAGAATGGATGCGTAGCCTTTCCTTCGATGTTTGTGATGTGGGGATATACATATTTGTTTGATGAGAACAAACTTGTCACACATTGTCGTCTTGATGTGCATGTTCAGCTCTTCTCCTTGTGTGATCTTTTCAGACCCGTATGCCAGCAGAAAACCAACCAGTTCCCCTCGTACATGTAGAACAAGGAAATGCTCAGCGTCTCGACTGAATTTGGAATATTCCTTGGCTTCAAAGCCAGATACTAAAAATCCATCTTTCACATGATTGGACTTATTGAGATTCTTCAAGGAGACGGACTGGGCAAGTTGTTCCAAATCAGAGGCATCCGTTGGCCTAGCTAGTCGAATGTTTGGAGTTTCTCGATCGAGCGTCAAGTGCTGCCTAGGAAAGTCTTCCGTCTCCAGCCTTGTCTGTGCATGTTCTTTTGTTCGCAGCGGAAATTGAATTTCATTCGGCATGATGTCAAAATGCTTTTGGGTGTGTTCTGTTTATTGTGTGTGCATGCAAGTATGTCTCGGTTCAAATTTGAAGACAAAGAAACTTTCTCTGCTCCTGCACTAGTCGAATGATTCGTTTTATCTCATGATTCCTTCAATCACGCTCGCATGATGGAAAAAATGTATCTTCCTATTTCGTGCTTTCGACTGTCTGTTGAAGCATGCCAGCAACATCATTAGCACAATGGATTCCTTGATAACATTCCTACAACAGCTAACTCCAAATCGAGCTCGCAAAGCATGGATCATCATTGATGCGACAGTCGTAGTCTGGTCAATTCTGCTTCTGGTGGAACTCTTGACAACACTTACGCCAAAATTTCGCTTGGAAGGGGAAAGAGCATACCTGGTTTACAATTTTGGAGCGACCTTAATTTGGATGGTGGCGTCAGGTTTGCATCTATTGGATCATTACATCAAATATCATCATCATGGTGGTGGTAGTGAATCATCGACACAGGCTGCTGGACACGAAACAATACCCATTTCAAGTCAGCTGGAGTCGCGTGCTGAAGAGCAAAAGGACATTCGTGTCCTAGTCTTGGAATGGATCTTGGCCATTTATTTTCTGTACGCTTCTACGAATGTTTACAAGCAATGGCAGAAACCAGATGAGGACGTGGAGGTGGAAATAGTAGACACTCTCGTGAATGCAGGTTCCTATGCTTATCTGGTGATGAGGGTGTGGTGGCTTCCAAAAGATGATTACACAGAAGTACCATCTGCTGAATCAATAGATGTATGATAGTAGAATCAATATACCGTAGCTATGTAGATGTACATGTATTGATATAAATGGAATCAGTTCACAAGATTACATAATGTTGAACAACGGAGTCGAAATGTATTTCCCCTTGTATTTCGCACTCGGTTCAGATAAGGAACAAGAAAAGACCTGAGAATTATTTTTCTTCACTGTTTGCCTTATCAGTCCTCCAAGGCTTCCATTTCCGAGTTAGCATCGATACGCCCTTCATGATGAGTGCTGAGGCTCCAAACTGCTGCCAGCAGAAACCGCAAACAACACCCACAGCAACACCAACCATGACTCGCCTTCCCTTTCGAATCCTGGGGACTATTATCACAGCTGCCTTTACCTCATCTTCTTCTGGTTTTATGATCTTTATTGACGTCGTCTTCGTTGTTGTCTTGCGCTTGGACTTTCGTTTCTTGCGGCGGCTGTGACGGGGCTTCTTGGGAATAACAGATGATGATTCTGCTTCCTCTTGAGGTTCTATCACGTCATCAACAACATCATCTTCATCGTCTGAATCATCAACCTCGTCGTCGTAATCTGAGCGCAACTTTAGCTTGTCCAAGAATGAGAATATGGGCTTGATCGAAGTCTCGACTTCTAGATCCGAATCCTCTTCTGGGAATTCAAGAATGTCATTGTCGTCCATAGCCCAAAAGGCGATTGTCATTTTGGTAAGCGTCTTCCAGGTACGCTTGGTAACTCTCCAAGTCTTTTTGCGCACACGCTGTAGTCGGGTTTCGTCCTTGTCCGCTTTGGTGTGAAAAAATGGAATGGTGCCATCGTCCTCATCCTCAGCACCAGCCGCCAACTCTTCTCGACACGCATCGACCGCTCGTTCACAGGCTCGGTAAATATCCCAAGACCATTGTCGGACCCAGAATGATGCCAACTTGGTAACTTTCAATGCCAATACTCCAGCTCGTTCCGAGACGTAGACTGCCGTCTCAATGACCTTTTCGATACTCTGATTTTCTTCCGCGTCATCAAGATACTCATCAGCTTCGTCATAATCTAATTCTGAATCTTCCACATCTGTATAGTAATCCTCCCCTTCCTCGTCACTATCCACCTCAATTTCTTCTTCCATTTCACCATCGACGTCTGACTCTTCAATCTCCTCCATTTCCTTTTGTACATTCAGCAGTGTTTGGTTTGCCTTTGTAGTGTTCTCGACGGGCGTTGGTTCGTCTACCACTGTAGACCCTGGCGGCTCGAGGGACAGTTCCGGTTTCTTCTCTTCTTCCACTTTTGTTGCATTGTTGGCGACTTCTATGCTTGGATCACCGCCTCGTATTTGCAACAACAAGCAACGTTGGTGATTGCGAAAGAGTGGTGGCAATGACGAGGAGGATGATAGTTTCATGAAAGGTGAATTCCTCATACCAAATGGGCCTCGGGATATTTCTGCATGCGAACGTGCAATGTAGGAGAGAATACATGAAAGCACCAGTCTTCTTGTCATGGTTAGATTCATGCTCGTCATATATACCGGTAGTGTTGCGCTCTATATTTGCGTTGTTGCAGGTTCAAGGTGTTCTGGTTGAAGGTCTTCAGATTTTTTCTGACAAATGATGATGATGAGGCAGCCTTTGAAATTTAACGGCCATCAGAACTTCAGTTTTTCTCTTATTTTGCAAATAACGCATCTCCGCAAAAACATAGAATGCCTCCCATTTTATATACGGTATACAATGAAATCCAGCACTGTCCCACTACATTACCCCAAAGCAAAATGCGAAGTGAAACAACGAACAGATGCCTGGGGTGGGGTCAAGATTATAGTAAAAGGCGGAAGTGTGTATGGATATCCACATTACAGATCACTTCGTGCCATACCGCAGGAATTGCAAGGGATCGATCCAGATGTTTGGGCCAGCTTCTTTGTACAAGTTGATAGCATACAAGAGAGTAGTAATGGGAGCGAGTGCATTGGTATTCTGGTATTATTCTTGGGAACTGGTGTCTTTTTCACGCTACTGAAATTATTTGGGAATGCTGGGATTGCCATTGTGGGTGCCGTAGCAACCATGGTTGGAATGGTATTTGTTGTCCCAAGAACTCCAAAGGGGCAACGACAATCACTTGATGATTTATGTCTATTATATGAGCAAAAGTTTCGAGATCAAGGATGGAAGGTATCATGCCATTGCGAGTCAACACCGCCACCACCACGACCAACTGGAGGCATACATGGACAAGGGTCGCATAGCATTTGGGTGGTTCATTTCATCCCCACTGGAGAAAACGGCTCTGTGTTACTTACGGCATGAACATGGCGGAAGATTACTTTTACCAATTCGAGAGTATCCAAGAAAATAGTACCTCAGAGGAGGAGCTACTAGTACAGGATAGTAGCACTCTGCCTGATGTGCTCACGGATAGGCAGCCCCTGATAAAACATTAGCCACCAGTCAAATTTTCAATTTCAAAGAAATGCCCATCTCAAGTCGAGCTATAATTCCGACAAGATAGACATGGCACCTTGGTGGAGAGTACAGTATAGTATGACATATTAAGAACATAAATTTCAACAAATTCAAATACCAGTATCTTCCACATTTTTTGAAACTTTTTGATTGGCGCGAAAGTCCGCGAGTAAGGCTGATTATCATTTTATTCATACTCGCATGATGATCGAGAATTTTAGCCAACCGTTTTCCGAAGTAATCTGCGATGGCACGTGCGACTTTGGCGAATTTTCGAAATTTGGATTCGCCTCCAGAAGAGATCACAAAATATTCTTTTTACCAATCCATCAAATTCATAATAACACAAACACAATGAAGCTTTCTTTCATCGCACCAATTTTCATGGCCATGGGAGCGTCTGCTTTCCAATCAGCGCCGATCACACGGTCCAACACAGCGCTTCATTCGTCTTCTCCAATGGGTGGACCCCCTCCGCCAGTAAGTTAATTGATGAAATGATATTTCCACGTTGCAATTTCTTCGCGCGTTCGAGTATGCAAAAATGCTAATAATCATATATCCTTTTCCCTTTTTGTGTCTTGCAGCAAACGAGCGGCCCAGCTGGCTCTGCTCCTCCAATGCAAGGTGGGGCCAGTGGCGGACTTGCCGGAGTCAACCGTGGTCCTAGTCCACGAGATGGTCCCGGTCCCGATGCTACACCACCAATCCTCTTGCAAGGTGGATCCTTGAAGACTTGGTCGATGCCCAGCACCGCTGTCCAAAGTTGCCAAATTTTTATGGAGACTGAGGGACGTCCTTTGGATGCCAACCTAGAATTGTGGCAAGGTCCCGATAACACCCCATACAAGATGCGAATCTACGTTGAGGATGGTGCCCAACGTTGTTTCAATGTTGTCGTTCCTGCACCACGCGGACCCAACACCATTGCCATCCGTAACACCGCACAATTGGAATTCCCATTGTTGGCGTCCGTTAACCCATCCATAGAAATGGTTGATATTGTTCCAACAGAAGGCTCACCTACTCCTAGAACCATTCAGGGAGGAGCTCTCCGAACTTATCCCTTCAACCCCGATGTCCAAAGTGTCAAGGTTATGCTATCTACTGATGGACGTCCATTGAACTCCCGTATCGAATTGTTGCAAGGTCCCAACAATATCAAGCAAGTCATGGAATTGTACACTGAAGATGGTTTGGAAAGACCTTTCTTGGCAATGATCGAGACCCCAGGAGCTGGAAACGTTGTCCGAATTGTCAACACTGCTACTATGGAATTCCCACTGATCTGCACGTGCGAGGCTCACATCGTCGGCCCTGAAAAGGGAATGGGCGGAGCAACAATGGGAGATGAGCTGCAATTGGGATCCAACTGGATGTACTAAATGGGCTATCCACCCGCCACGCAGTCCATCGTATGTATGCTACTTGGGTTCACAAGAACACATAGACTTGCACTTGCGCAAAAACCTTTCCACATTGATGTACAAAGCAGAATTGACCTCGGCGGTCGATCAAATACAAATTTCTAGATGCGCAGACGATAGACGAACAACCAGCATAGACGGAACTACTATAAAAGCAGCTATTACACCAAGCAAATTCATTCTCCTAGCCAATAGTTCTATCTAGGTCCTCCCTTCAAACAGTCGTTTTTTAAAATGTCCTGGTATTTTCGATTCCAGTCGTTTCACAAAGCTAAAGCAAGCAAGAAGCAGCCAATCTTGATGTGCTCGTTATTCGTAAGTTTTTCAATTTTCTATCTTACCTTTTGTTTCGATGGACATTATTTCATCATGTTTTGGACGTAAAGAGCGAGTGATCCAGCCATGGTAGAATCACTAGACTTGACGGTAATATCCAATCGCGTGTTGCCACCGGCTTGGGGCGAAACCTTTCCATGGACCAATGCCATCATGACGCCACCGTTGATCTGACCAGCACAAATTCCCTCGTTCGTGGCGGAAATTGCTTCAATTGGGTGTAAGCCAACTGCTTCGCACTCCTTCATAAAAGTATCCAAAGAGGAAACCTTCTTGCTCGATGGAATCGAAACGGGAGTAGTTGCAGCGCAAGAACCCCACTGTTGTCCAAATTGTGCCGTGGTAATCTTCAATGGTGCCATAGCAGAGCCGTTGAATTCAAATTTGGAACTAGAAACTCCAAACGACGCCAATGGTTTGTCTTGTAAGTCTCCTAAAAGACCTTCGGCGGCAAATGGATCAATTGTTTCAACTGGTGTAATGGCTGCTGCGGCAGTCGTTGGTCTATCCACACCTCCTGGAGCTTGAAGACCAAGATCCTCCTCGTCCACACTGGCAGTTTCCACAATGGGCGGCGGAGCTGCTGGTTCAGCAGAAACCGGTGTTGGCGCCAACATTGCACTTCCAAATATATCATCGACCGCTGCCGCAGGTGCGGGAGCTGGTGCCATATCAAAGCCCATCATGTCTAACAAATCAATTTCAGCTGCTGGGGCTGGCGGTGGAGCAGGAGCTGCCGCTACTGGTGGTGCCGCAGCTGGGACTGGTCGCGGTGGCGCTGGAGCCGGAGCGGGTGGAGGTACGGATCCTGGCACAATGCCACCAAAGAGTGCTGCCGCTTGTCGTTCTTTCTCTAATTGTTCGGGTGTCTTTTGGACCACTGGAGCTGGTGCAGGTGCTCCATATCCGCTGCTACCACCGTAGGTATTGTTGCTGGAAGTATGCGATCGGAATCCAGCAGCTGCCGCAAATACATTGGAGTGGGTTCCAGGTGATTGCGCCGGAGGTGGTGGTGCGGCTGCTTGTTGCGGTGTAGGTGCTGCTGCAGCCGCTGGCTTTTTGCCCCAAACATTCGCAGCACCACGGGTATTGAGGGTGAGACCATTTGCAAGCCCTGGGTTGGCGGCAGAAGCAGTTGATGTAACAGACGCATTGCCCATGTTTCCACCGGGTGGTGGTGTGACAATACTTCCACTCGTAGCCATACCGCCACTGCCCATGCCTCGAATCATGTGCGATCGGCTGACATTGGTATCGGGCTTTGCATATGGCGTCATCTTGAAGGCTGGGGTCTCAGATGCTGATGCGCCGTAGTCTTCGTCGTCATCATCATCGTCTTCTGGCTTGGAATAGGGCCTAGCACCTTCTGACAGGGATTGTTGGCAGTAGCCATCCAAGAAGCTGAGATTGATGTCAACATCGACATCTTCTGCGGCAGCATCCACGGGCAGGATTTCTCCCAAGTATTGCGGAGCAGTAGTCAACAGACCCTGGAACTCCAAACAACGCTGCTGAAGATCAGGGTCCTTACTGCGTGTGTATTCATCAATTACTGCAGCTGCTTGGGGTGGACAAGTCCCAGCTTGTGCCACAAGCTTGAAAATGGCACTGGTCAAAAACTTGCGAGTCGAAGTTGCCAAGACTCCAATCTTGTTCCATCGGCAGAGTCGAGTCAAGATATCTTCCAACGAGCAGACTGAGCTCAGGTAGGCGTACTCTCCCAAAATCCAAGCCATTGTTTCCAACAAGATTCGTGGCAACTTGGCCGGAGGCTTCTCTTGCAGAAGAGATACATACAGTTCAACGGCCGTTTGCCTTAGTCGAACATCTTCGTCTTCCGATTCTCCCGTTCCTTCGGCAATCAAACTCATGAGGTTCTGGGCAACTTCTTCTTTGACCATATCCCCCGAAACTTCAAAGAGTTGAGTAATTGTCTTGATATACCATGCATTGTTGGGCGCATATCGTTCTGCCACGCTGAAAGATGAAGATGAAAAGATTGTTAGCTTCGAAAGATAAGAATCGATAATGCGGCCGATGAAGCGGTGAAAGACTTACCTGCAGACACGAGTCGTCAGTTGCTGCTTGAGGAACAAATCAGTAGTACCCGCCAAGAATACCAACAGCTTGTCGGTAATGAATTCCACATTAACAGGATTGGTCATTCGGTACAACAAATCCAAAGTCTTGCGTTGGAGTGTCTCATCGGGATCTTCCAAACAGTCCATGACGGCCATTTGATGCTGAGTGGCGTATTGAGGATGAGTTTCGACAATGAGAGCCAATCCAGTCACACCCAAATATTTCAAGTTGTGGGATCGGGAATCCATAAAGCGGGCAATGGCGTCAGCGGCCGCGTCCAACAATTTGGTATTGGGATAAATCTTGGTAATGCACTTGACGCACTCGTAGACAATGGCGTAACCAGCATTGATTCCAACATCAGCCTTTTTCATGGTATCCATTAGAATTTCGTACATGCCGGAAGAAGCTTCGGCATCGGCTTGTCCGAGCATTCCCATGATTCTCACAAGTTTGATTTGCATCCATGGAGCAGGAACTCGATGATAATCATAATCACTGGGCAAACGGTGGTCTCCAATTTGTTTTAGGATACTCACGAGCGACGGAATCAGGTCCTTGAATCTGATTGGTTCCCTAAGAGCCATGCTTTCGATGACATTCAAACAAGATCCCATGACAGACGGATCTCTGTCACAAAGCACCTTGCGGACCTTTTCGAAGAGTTCATCTTCCGTAACGACATCGGGCGCCAGTTGATGAAACCGGTGTAGAGTAATAATGGCCTTTTTGCGGACTGTCTCACTGTCATGAGCCAGCAGCTTGGCCACTTCTGTCGACATGGCGGGAACCATGTCCGAGGTAATGAGGGATGCCGAAGCCAAGAGACCACCACAAATTTCCAATAGATTGGTGGATTGCAAATCGCGTTGCATTTGATTCACCAACATGAATCGGAATTCATGGTCTGGAGACAAACAAGAACTGCAAACGAGATAACCTGTTCGCTTGTGATAGAGAGAAGCAGAAGCTGCCATTTCCACAGCCTTGATGTATCCAAAGGAGGCATCGTGACCCAGCATTTCCACATACAAAAGGCGAACAAGGTATTCCTTGGCTCGCTTTTTATTTTGTAGAGGAGGCGTCTTTCCAGGAGGCGTTGGTTCTAGCTTTTGCTTAAGAACGGTAACTTCCTTGGCAATAATGCGGTCTTCTTCTTGCTTGGACTTGGATTCTCCAATCGCTTTGAGGACCTCAAAGAACTCGCGAGAGAGATTCAAGCCACCGGTTGCCATGGTTTATATTCTGCCTTGTTTGTAATAAAAGAGAGTAGGCTATTTTGGGGGTATACGATGATAGCAGTAGGTGGAACCAAGTAGACTAGATGCTTACAGTAGCATCAGAAGGTGTGCAATGCAAAATTGAAAATGACGAGGCAACGAATTGAAATGATGCGGCAAGCCGACTCCCACGAATTGAAAACTTGGTAGAATTTGTACATACAGGGAAAACAATATGGAGAATGGGAGAAACGAGGCAACAGATGAAAGCATTTTCAAAATTGGCAACTCAGAGCATTCCATCGTTAACTCTGATTGTATAATCTGACATGAGTTTGATCCCCAGTCGCATCAGATTGTAAACTGTTGCTTGACATTGCTATCCAAGCGGTGAATGTAGGCAGCGTCCGGAAGCTACAGTACTGACCCCTAAAAGTCCAACAGTCGAGGATACCTCATCCGCCTTTGGAGGAATTCGTCAGCATCTTGACCTTCTTGGTCGCTCCCCACTGTTCATAGAACCGAATGGCTTCGTTCAAGAAATGAACCGACTCTTCCAAATCTTTTCGCTCATGACTCAAGAAATCGGCATATCGTTCATTGAACAAACCTGCGTGGTGCAAGTATCCCATTCTGGATGCCAGCTCGATGGCTTCCAAGTACAGCTTTTCGGCGCGATCGTAGGATGATTTGTTCAAGGCGGCGTGTTCGGCATCCAGTAGTAGATCGTAATGTTCCACGTTCGGATTGCCGGCCTCAAGCCACTTCTTGATGGTTTTGCGAATCTTGCTGGCATGCGACTTATACTTCCGTCGTTTGGTCTTTCGAGCCATGATATATAAGGCAACTCCACGATGAAATGTTTCAATCATTCCAACACACATGCACGGACAAAGCTTGGAAAATGTTTTGGCATGGCGAATAGCTCGATCCGCAGCTTCCTCGGGCTTGAAGAAAACAAGCAATTCTCCCTCGGCGAAATGCACTGTTCCAACCTGCAACGATTTGCCTTCGTCGTATTCATTTCGAGTGAATATGTGGCCTTCCAACTTGTGGGCATGTGGAGAATTTGATCTCATGTTCAGAACCATCTGCCAAAAAACTTTGACGATGACAAGTTGCTCATACTTTGAGAGTTCCTCCATTTGGGACTGAATCAACGGTAACTCCTTCATGATATCACTTAGAGGCCTTCCAATCATGTAGGGTATCCAAATGTGACTATTTTTTTCAGAGCGGACCGTACTGCAAGTCAGTATCATGGGGGATGCAAATCGAGAAAGAATCCTACTGGGAGACTTACCGAGAAATCAATGTCCACATCGCATGTGTTGGATCGCCGACTCTCATGGAGGAAGCATATCCCTCAGATAGGGGTTTCAGCACAGCCTCCAATCTTAGCTTCCAAGCGAGCGGAAAGGAATAAGCAGTAAAGACTGTGGCACCTTCACGGTATTTTCCAGCAATCTTTTGTATTGCGAGCCCTCTTTCAGCAATCTCATATCCTGTTTCGAAATCCCCATGGACATGCGCAGCCATCAAACCCAACCCTGCAAAACCGGGCCCAGAGTCGGGAGCTATACCATGGTCCAATGTCATTTGTACAAGCCTACACACACACAAAATGTGCAGAATAGTTTCCTTTGTTTGATAGGTGGAGAAGCACATATTCCCAAGCAGCAGAATGCACATCTTGTGTTTTTGGTCAGTGGCAAGACTGAAGGTTTTATGCAAGTCCTTTGCCGCAGGCGCGGTCTTTACTCGTTGGACTGTGATCTTCAACGCAGCAATTGCTTGAACCGTCAACATTCTTCTGCTCCGAACAAGAGGATGTCCCATCTCCCTCAGAAGTTCCAGTCCCACTTCAATGGACTGACGGAAATTTGAATCCACGACTGAGAGCTTTCGTACAGATGCAATCTTCAACGGAATCTTTTCCACTGTGCTATAATCGTCTCGGCTCAGAATCTCCTTGCTGTACATTTCAGCCTGCTCACCATTACCCAATGCCAGCTCCATCTCTGCACCAATCGTATAAAGTTTGAGTGTCAAGACACGATTTGTCGACATGGTGCCTTCTTGCAAAAGCTCGATTCCTTTGGCCGCATAATTGGCTGCGCTTTGAATGGCGAAGACCCCCTTCGCTTTCTCTGCAGCTCGCAGGTTCAATCTGGCAAACTCGGGGCGCTTATTGACGTTTCCACTGTTAATAATGTCCGCAACGTTGAATAGTTCTTCTTCCAAGGTTTTCTCATCCAAGCAATAGTATAATGACGATCCAACATCCAGCTGAAAAGCGGCCTTGGATCTCAGCTTCAATAGCAAAGCCGCCTCTTGTACTTTGTCGTGGACCCATCTGTAGTGGTTGGAATCATACTTTTCGATGAAGAAATTTTCTTCTGCCGTGGCAATCAGCGTCTCAAAAGGTTCCAGTGACTCTTGATTATTGATAATGCTCGACTTCTTCCAAACCAGTTCTAATGTTGGCAAACTGAAGGATGATCCAATGCAGGCTGCATATTGCAGCAGACGTTGAACTTGACTGGGCATTTTTTGAATCTTTCGTTGCAATAGCACTACAACATTGGCAGTAGACATTGTTACCTCTTTAATCTGAGAAAGATCCCACATCCAATTGTGGCCTTCGGCATCGAACGTCAACAATCCTTCAAACTTCAACATTTTCAGGAACTCGAGAACGAAATATGGATTGCCCATCGTTCTCTTTACGCATAGTGTTGCAAGACGTTTGGTTTTGGCATCATGGTCTGCTCGCATTCGCGATTGGATAAGACCAAAAATGTCATCGGCAGTGAACGCATCCATTTTCAATTCTGTCATGTTGAAAGAACATGTGTTTCGCTTCCTTTTCAGTGCGAGGATCTTGTTGCTTAGAACACTGTTCTCGTCGACCTTGTCTGATCGGTAGCACCCAATAACCATGAGTGGGTTTGGATTTTGTGTATCTGTAATCAAATAATCCAGAATTTGTAATGAAGAAATGTCGGACCACTGCAAGTCATCAAGGACCAGTACCAAGGGTGAGAAAACAGCACTGAAAACTCGAGTCAAGGCACGGAAGGCGAAACGCAGACGTTCCTGTCCACTCTCAAGACTGTGATCTTCGGTATCTGAAATGGCTGATGTGGGATACTCTTTGATGATGTATTTGAGTTGCGGTATAAGATCAATCAGCTCCTCCACATCGTTTCCAAAAGTTTCCAGGATTTCTGCTTCAATCTTCTTGACATCATCGGGCATTTGTCCAATTCTCTCACATATTACGCCAAAAGCCTTGGCGACGCCAGAATATGGCTTATCGCTTGTAGTTTGGTCGAACTTTCCAACCACGAACATTCCAGAAGTATATCTCAAAACATCAGACTCTAACGTATTCGCGACAGCAGACTTCCCCGATCCTGATAACCCCTTGAGAAATACCAGTTCCTTTTTGCTAGATTCTTCAACTTCCTTCGTTTCTTCATTGTTGATTTCAGGTGAGCCGCCCAGCATCCGATTCAAGCAGGTTTTCAGGCAAGATATTTGATACTCTCGGTTGATTAACCCAATAGATTCAAACTCCAATTTCCGAATCTCCTCTTCCGGTATTATTTCATCTGCTATAAGATGCGGTTCAGAATGCTTGAGCTTTCGAAGTTCAGATGTCTTCATTTCGGCCATGAGCGCTCCAGACGATAATTCCCGGCTGTTGTTTTTCACAATCCATGCATCTGCAGATTCCGATAACAATGCATCGCTATCAGCAAATCTTGAATGATCATCAAGTTTATCATTTGTGTCAACTATGATTTCTGATATTCTTTCCCCAATACCACTGTCGTTGCATAGATCCATTTTCGTACTGTTTCGGTTCCCTTGGTGTCATGAATAGAAGAATAAATTCTTTCGGACAATAGTGGTAGTCAAAGTATTGAATCGTTTAATTACAGCTGCGGTACTGCACCGCCGTCAGACGCTGCGGATGTTGACGATAATAATGAGCATATTCCAGCACCTTACAGTACTGCATATTTCCATACGGTACCAGGTACAGTACCGGTAGGTATGCACTTTCTGTGAATACTGTGAAAGGCCTATGTCAGTACGTGTACAAATTTCACAAAACACTTCTGTGCGATACGCGCGTTGCTCCTAGACACAAAAGGGGGAGTGGTACCTCCTGTACCGGTAGGCTGAAAGTAGATGAAAGAGTTATTGATCCCAACTTTAAAAATTGTCTCCCAAGATTTGGAGAGACAGACGCCAAAACATTTCGAACTCTGCCATTCCAAATTTACAACGCAAGAGATCGTTCCAATTTGCTTTGTAACATCTTGATCTTCCTATTTGCCCCCCATTGCTTGTACAGCCGAATGGCTTCATCCAAATAATGCGAAGCTCTTTCCGCATCATCAACTTCGTTTAGCAAGAAATCAGCATACCTCTCATTGAAGAGGGCAGCATGGTGAAGATACTCCATTCGGGAGGCCAGCAAGATTGCTTCCTCATACAGTTTCTCTGCACTTGCATATGCTCCATTTAAAGCCGCGTGTTCTGCGTCCAGCAGCAGACTAAAGTGCTCGACATTCGGGTTTCCTGCCCGCAGCCACTTCTTGATTGTTTTGCGGGTTTTGCTTGCATGATTCTTGTACTTGCGTTGCTTGGTCTTTCGAGCCATGATGTACAAAGCAACACCACGATGGAATGTTTCAATCATCACTAAGCAAAGACTCGGCGCCAACTTTGAGAACTTGTTTCCAACAGCGATCGCCCTATCGGCAGCTTCCTCTGGCTCGAAGAATAGAAGCAATTCGCCTTCTCCAAAGTGCACCATATTGCCTCCTATTCGTTCCCAATCGTCAACTTCATTTCGGCTGAAAGTATGGCCCTCCAGCTTGTGCGAATTTGAAAAGCTGGAAGTAAGATTAACCATCATTTGCCACAAGATTTTCAAGAAGAGTAGAGGTCCCGGCTGTACAAGTACGATAGAAACAAACATGAAAATAATGAGAAACAGGTCGATCCAAATCAACAAGCTTTCAATCAAGAAAGAGGGTATACCTGCGACAATTCTTCCATCTGGGATTGTAGCAAAGGGAATTGCTTCAAAATAAGACGGAGCGGCTTTCCCATCATATACGGCAACCAGACATGGTGGGCGCTCAAGCACCAACATGAGAAGGTGGAGTCGCCCATTCTGGTAGCGGAAACATATCCATCATAATGTGGCTTCAATAAAGCTTGCAGTGGTCTCTTCCAGCATAAAACGAATGAATATGACATGTACACACATGCTCCTTCACGAGCTGGGTGTAACTTCTGCATTGCTAGTCCCATTTCAGCAAACTTTGCAGCTGTTTCAAAGTCTCCTTGAAAAGTCACAACCAACAACCCCAGACTAGCAAAAATGGCGCCACATTCTGGTCCAATTCCGTGATCGAGAGTTATCTGTACACACCTGCAGATACCAACAACATACAGTAGATACTTTCTGCTATGATATGATGAATAGTTCACTAGCCCAATGAGTCGCATCCACAATAGGTGTTTTTGATCCGTCATCTTGTCCATGGAATAATCCGTTTCCTTGAACATTTTCGTATTCTTGGCCCTTCTGATAGTTCTCTTTAGCTCCACCAATGCCTGTAAAGATGTCGTACTCCTACTCCAAATCAACCTGTAGTCAAGTTCTTTGAGCCGTGCCAGACAACGTTCGATTGTCTGATCATACTTGAAATCGACTATAAGTTCCTTCCGGATTGAAAGAACCTTGAAAGGCATTTTATCCATTGCTGAGTACTGGGGTCGCTTTAAGATCTCCTCTGCATATCGATCTGCTTTCTTGACATTTCCCAACGCAATCTCCATCTCTGCACCTATCGTATATAGCTGTAGCGTCAAGATATGATTGGATAGTACCTGTCCCTCTTGCAATAGCTCGATTCCTTTTGCCGCGTAGTTTGCAGCACTTTGTACGGCGAAAATTCCCTTTGCCTTTTCCGCAGCTCGAAAGTTCAGTCGAGCAAACTCGGGGCGCTTCTTGATGTTTCCGCTATTGATGATATCCGTTACATTGAACAGCTCCTCTTCGAGACTCTTCTCGTCCAAGCAATAGTACAGTGATGATCCAATGTCAAGTTGAAAGGCCGCCATGGGTTTATTGGAAAGTAGCAATGACGCCTCTTGTACTTTATCATGGACCCATCTGTAGTGCTTGGGACCACACTTTTCGATGAAACGATTTTCTTCGGCCGTGGCAAGCAGCTGCTCCAGGGGCTCAGATAATACGCCGCGATCAAGGATATTTGATTTCTTCCAGATTAGCTGAAGTGTTGGAAGGCTGAAGGAAGAGCCAATGCACGCTGCATATTGCAAAAGTCGCTGAACCCGCTTTGGCATTTTCTGTATTTGGGACTGTAACAGAACAACAACATTGGCAGTGGACATTGTCACTTCTTCGATCTGCGCAAGATCCCATGTCCACGTCTCAGAATCACCATCGTACACCAACAAACCTTCATTCTTCAGCATTTTGAGGAACTCCAAGACAAAGTGCGGATTACCCATAGTTCGTTTTTCACAGAGTGCTGCAAGGCCATCGATGATAGTTTCGTCACCTGCTGATATTTGAGACTTGATCAAGTCACTGATATCGTCTGCGCTAAAGGCCTCAACTTTTAATTCCGTAATGTTGAAAGAGCACCTGTTGGTCTTTTCACGGAGAGCATGGATCTTGTTTACAAGTATGCTATTTTCATCGACCTCGTCAGATCGATAGCACCCAATGACCATCAGAGGATTTCTATTTTGCGCATCAGTGACGAGGCAGTCCAAAATTAGGAGGGAAGAAATGTCAGCCCATTGCAGGTCATCCAAGACCAACACCATGGGCGAGAATTCAGCACTCAAGGCTCGTGTCAATGCACGGAATGCAAATCGAAGACTGTCAAGTCCATTCATGATATCGTGATCAGCAGTGTCGGTGGAAAAGGTCGTCGTGGCATAGTCCTGCATGATGTATTTCAGCTCCGGAATGAGGTGCATCAGAACTTCAACCGTTGTTCCAAATTCTTCAGATATCTTTGTGGCAACCCTTTTGACAACAGCGTCCGGCATTTGATCAATCTTTTCACAAATCATACCGAATGCTTTGGCGATGCCCGAGTATGGCTTATCACTTGCAGTTTGGTCGAATTTTCCTTGTACAAAGATTCCGTGCTCCAGTGCTTCCACATCTTGCTCCAGTGTCTGCGCCACGGTACTTTTCCCGACTCCGCTCAATCCGGAGAGAAAGACAACTTCTTTACTGCAGGTCTCGGATTTTTGTTCGCCGTCTCCGTCATCAATTGGGTGTCCCAACATGCGCCTGAAACGGGATTTCAGCATAGATACTTCACGTTCTCTTCTGATTAGTCCAGTGAATTCAAACTCCAATTTTCTCTTTCTTTTGCCCGAAGGCGACACTATCAGTTTTTGTTGTTTATGCTTGGATTGTCTGATTTCAGAGGTCTTCATATTTTTCATCAGGTCTGCCCCTGAACGAATTGCCACCGGTTCCGGCTTGACCAACCAAGCATCGGCAACTTCCGACAGCAAGGCTTCGTCTTC